GTGGCACTGGCCGACATCACTAAATGGACCAACAGTGATCAAGGACTACGTTGGAAGCTCAAGTACAATGGAGAAGAATTCCAGGTCAACATGAAATTCTCCGTTGCCTTCCTCATTGGTGATACTGCCATGCATGACAAGCTTTGTGGTAAGACAGGTGGTAGCCGAACCCATGTTTTTTAGTAGTCGCACAAGTCGTATACTTGCATGAACGCAATGTATTGTATATGTAATGTATGTATGTTTTGAAAAATTTGTGCTTGTTTTATTGGATGGTGGTGCATTCAGGAATAGAGTTCAGTTGAGTCAGTCACCGGTACCGTGTACGGGTACCAGTACTATTATAACCCACTGAAGCCAGAAGGATTGGGCAGGGGTCGGCCCTCATAAGTCACGATCAAGCCTCTAGCCAAAGAATAGAGGAAGCTGTGAATGCTGTCGATACTCTCAAGTTCTGACAATGCCGAATCTATCTAGCCTCTGATGCCCCATGCAGGGATTGGAATGATTATGCAAGTATGCCTGTGCTCATCTTTGTGATCAAGCAATGCAATTGCAATTGACCAGATCACGAGGTTACGATCAAATCAGAACAGCCTAACATCACGAGCTAAATTTACATCGGGCATTACCAAATAAAAACCGGATGGACTTACTTTCAAGGCTTCAGAGCGCCATACAATGCATTTGGAAGCAGTGGTAAGATAATTTTGAAAATGAAGCTTGTATCATCCGAGCGAGGATACAGCAAACGAGGGCAAAGCTGGCAATCCAATTACCGTTCCAAGCCAACTTTCTGCCAGTGCCTTTCTTATTGGTGGGTGATGTCCTGATCCTTTCTACGGCCGGTAGTTCAGCCTTGGTCAGCCTGCAATTGCCAAGTGTGTCATGTTCTCTCCAAAAAGCTATGAATGGATGGAGCATCAAACTGTAGATGTCACCAACCAATCGAGTGGCGTGTGGTAGCAATGACGATGAGGACGCAAATGTCATCTCATGGATTCTTAAAAGTGGTTTGCTTCTTTTGCTCCTCAAAGCATGAAATGAGCCGCACGAATTAGCAGTCAACAATAACATACTAGACTAAATATTTTATCTATCTAGTTGGGAAGAATACCCAGCCTTTATTTTTTGGATGTCATCGATATCGTCTCTGTCCCTAAATATTTTTTCCCAGGAGCTTGGAACAATGCCACAGACAACCATATTGTAGACTTCAAGCAAACCTGGTTCGATTGAAATACTTTTGTTGATGCAAATGTTCTTGCCATCCATGACCAGCTCAGGCAGCATAATGGGCAAAACATTGTCCTTTGGCTTGACATTGTACTTTCCTCTCTTCTTCTTGGTGGTTTTTGCAATCAGTTCTGCCTTCACCTTTTCCACTGCGCTGGTCCCTTGGGCTTCTTTGTACCGTCATAATTTTCAATAGCTTTCAGTAAGGCAACTGCGCCGTTATGGAGTTGGAGATTTTTGCTGCATTCACGGACAATGGGTTCTTTCTCAGCAAGCAAACTAGCAAGATCTGCTTGCATGTAACGCACACAATCATCCGTTGTTGATGCAAATCTTCTGCGAGGATCCTTCGCTTGTTCGACGGTAATTCTTGTGCTGTTGATGTTTGCTTGTAATTTTTTGATTTTCTTTTTCAATGTAGTAAGCCACCTTTTGGTGGTGGCTTTTATTTGCTTGCACCGCCCCTGTGCATCGGCCACTTTTTCCAACCATGTCACTGTTTCCGGATTCGTCATGAGTGCATCAATTTTTCCCAGTCTCCCATCTATATTATTCTTGAAGTGGTTCTCTAAGCCGGCCCCATTATGCAGGGCTCCAAAAGTTTGTTTTGAGGGATGGATATCAAGAAGTGGCTTGTCGATTACACATCCATGTCTTTCTCAAATGTCTCGTAATTCATCTTCAGAATATGTGTTGTTCCCGTTGTTGGTATCTTCCTCAAGCTTCTGAAACATGATTGAATTTGAGTGTTCTCCACAGCGCCAGAGATAATCTTTCCACCCAGCTTCAACTTTGGCTGCTAATCGCTCGTTCTCAAGACCGTGTTCTTTGGCATACTGTACCATCCAGTCTGGAAAGTTTGTCTTATAAGTGCTTTTTGGTTGGGTACAGAAGATACAGTTGGACCTTGCACTCGCGCTGTCCATCATGCCCATAGTCGCCCAGGAATTCTTCTTGTCACAGCTAACAAATCCAATTACCTGTTTCAAGCCACAATCGATCAGTTCATCATTTGGTTCCCGCCGTTGAATTGGCTTCTCAAACAAGCCCGCAACCAAAACCTTGTCTTGTTGGCCATCACCATCGACATCAGCATTGTTCAAAAAGATACGGAACCCATAGTACTTGTTGTCGTCATCATAAACGAGCTGTAGGCCAAGCCTGTTGGATCCATTTTCCCATTCATTATCCAGCTTCAACCTGATGCATCCCATCTCAAGAGATGGCCCTTCTACCTCTCCATTAGAAAAAAATTGTTCCTCATCGTCGGTCCTTGCTCTATCATGGTGGTTCAAGTTATAACCCTCCATGTCTTCCTCTTCTTCAGTCAATCCATCAAACTCATCAGAGGAATTTTCATCTTTGTCGTCATCATCAGTTATGCTTGTTGCGTCATCCAAGCCATACTCCTTTCCTTGACATTCATCGGTGATTTCACCATTGGGAAAAGTTGAGACAGTTGAAATTGATTGCTCTTCATTGCCGTTATTGTTGTCATCCTTCTCATTCCAGGTAGAGGATGCATATATATCTTGTTCTGATTCATTTTCAAAATTTTGAAAATTTTGAAAATCTTGCGGTGACGTCACCGCCTTGAAGTCTGCTTTCGAGAAAAAACTGACTTCACAATGTTCAAGCTTCACATCAACTCATCAGTTGCACTTTGACGATGATCTGCAAACAAATTTAATGACGATACATTGGCGTTCAACAATGTCTCCTTTGTTTTTGTCAATTGAATTGACTGTAATAGCAAACAATTTGTTATCCAGGAGCAATTGCAAAAATCTTTGTATTGGAGAACCCTCCTTCAAAAATTACTTCTCCATATTCCCATAGCACTCCGCTGCATTCTCGTACATTGCTAGGGTTGTAACATAGTCACTGCAATTCCCCATGATTCGGTTCAGAATTCGAAGTAACATGGATGTTGCCAATTCATCTTTGTCAGCACCGACTGCAACAACAATTTTGTCCAACAATCTCGAGAAGTGGTCTGAATGCATGAAGTTGCAAGACAGAAATGCTGCCTGTCATTCCAGAGCCCAAAGTGGCGTTGCTAGATACCAAGAGAGTTGTGGATTCACTTCTTTGCTGGCGTTCATCTCCAGGGGTATCATCTCAGCCTCAATGCGCATTCTTGAATTCTTCCCAATCTTTGACAAATACTTCTTCAGTTGAGGCGGGCATCTCGTATTTCCAATGAGATTGTGTTCCATTTGATCAATCATTACCAAAATATTGGCACTGCCCACAATGGATAACAGTAGTGCTAGCTGTGCTTAGGTCCACTTGAAGTCTTCCTTGTGCAAAAGTATAAGGTCCTCAAACTTTCTATAAACCAACTCCAGCAATGCTTGTTGTTGGGCAATATCTGAACCCACCAAGCAAGCAACAATATTCTTCATGTGATTGGCTTTCTGATTCTTGGCCGACTGCGTCAAGGCAGTGAAGTCTTTTGCTGGCTGAGATAAGAGGGCGTAATGCTTTTCAATCACTCGATTCTTCGTATTTTTGAAACTGAGTTTTGAGATTTGTTCTTGTGATGTCTTTGATTCCTCCAAAGTCTTACTGGTGATAAGATGGCAGAGCTCATTTATTATAGAACTCTTATCATTCTTGTCCATTGCGAGTCTCTTGCAAAAGATTTCCACAACAAGTTTGTCTTCCTTGTGCATGGTTTCTTCTGGCAAAAGATCCACTGCCACTTCAGGTTCATTTGCTTCTTCAATCCAAGAGATACCCGAGTCCCCGCTTTCAGAGTTGTTGGATGGTACGATATCTTGGATACCTATCAGAAAAGCGGCAGGTGACTTCGTTTCAATCAACAGTTCGCCCCTTTCAGAGTCATTTGCTGGCACAAGATCTTGGATTGCTCTCGGAAGAGTGTCATCTGTCTTTACTTTGATCAACAATTTGGCGCTTTTGGAGCCGTTGGTTGGCACAATATCTGGGATAGCTCTCAGAATGGGGCCAGGTTTGAGCTTTCTGAGCTGGTTGTCGGTGCAACCTGCCACTGAACGTAGGGCAAACTCTCTCTTTGTGCTCCGTGAACACAACGCATTGATTGCAAACAAGAACATCTGCATATTGATATCCCATTTAGAAGGCTTTCGTTTTTGTCCAAAGACGCACTTGAGAAATGGATGACTTTTGCTGTAAACGTCATTCAGGTGTATACAAAGCGGGTAGTATCCAATCCCCTTCATGTGAAATTGGTTCTTTAGATTCGGGTATGTGCAACACATTGTCTCTTTTAGAGACTGCTCTTGGTATTCGTTGACTAAATGAGAATCGGAAGGATGTGGTTTTCTTTTCCTACCAGCAGTTTTGACTGGTCTCCATGGCAATGATTTCAGGAATGCTTCAGCAAAACTTGCCATTTGAGCTTTGCTTGTATCAGCTGATGTGCTCATCCCTCCTTCAATGTCATCATCAATGTAGTTTTTGAAGCTAGCACTAGGTTGAGCTGTGCAGCACATCGTCTCTTTTAGAGACTGCTCTTGGTATTCGTTGACTAAATGAGACTCGGAAGGATGTGGTTTTCTTTTCCTACCAGCAGTTTTGACTGGTCTCCATGGCAATGATTTCAGGAATACTTCAGCAAAACTTGCCATTCAAGCTTTGCTTGTATCAGCTGATGTGCTCATCCCTCCTTCAATGTCATCATCAATGTAGTTTTTGAAGCTAGCACTAGGTTGAGCTGTTTCTTCACTCGGTGTCACTTTGGGTGCTGGGGCTCCTTTATGTCCATCTCCCGTATTGAAAAATCTCGTGTCAAAAATGGGTATCTTCCCAGCATCTGGTGTCACCACTGTTTCCCCAACACCATCACACGATGTACAGCCAACTTCAATTGATGACATACAAGATTACCTTTGTTTGAAGGGAAGCCTGAAGCTTCATTCAAGCTTTCTAGCTCATCAATTTGCAACTCAAAGCTTGCCATCTTGCAGGTTCAAAATTTGAAGGCTCAAAGAAATTTCCAGATTTTGTGCGATATCAAAGACACGGCATCCGCAAACATAATTTTATTTTATGTGTTGTTCCGGTACTACGTGTACTTCTCTAACCCGTTTGGTTGACTTGTCCAACCATACGCTAAATAAACTTCAAGCAAACTAGGTATTCACTGCGTTAGACTCACTAGACTTCCAAGTGGTAAATACGAAAACGCAATACCTCTTGTTTTCCCTCATCAAAGAATACACGCACAAATTGACATACTGTATGGTCCAACAGTGCGGATCAGACTCAGCAAAGTAGATCAGGTACTGCTATGTTTCTATAATGACCTTATAACCGTCCGCATAGAGCGAAACAGGAAAAAACGAAAACGCAGGTCATTTGTTTACATCAACTGGCAAGTGCTTCTTTGTCATCGCCACACGTATGTGTTTCTTCTTCCTAAACCATGCAGAGTGTCTGTCAATGCGAACTAAGTGTTCAGAAAGCCCATGATCAACCTTAAAGTCTCTCCAGCAGTCCATTACCCCACTGTGCGAATAGACATCGTCAAAAATAATAATACCTCCCACTTGAACATTCTCATATAGCGCATATAGAACATCCTGGTACGAGTCATAAAAGTTTCCGTCGATGCGCAAAACGGCCACAGGGTCGGACCTATTGACCCAGTCAAGAACGGAGTCTCTAAACAGCCCTTTCACAAGATTGATTCTACTAGCATCCCAAACATCGAAATACTCAAAACTAGACCGCACAGTGTCTACATCCACCGACAAAAAGTCGTGGTCCTTACCATACGAGTTTCCTCCTACTGGGCCGAAAGCATCGAAGAGATATAGATCACGATTTGTACCTCGTTCCTTTTGCATCGCAGCAGCCATTATCATTGCTCCACCTCGCCATACACCAAACTCCATAATTGCACCAAGAACATGATTTCTGTTGACCTCGTTGATAGCTGACATGAAGCTCTGCAACCTTTCTATTCCAATCATGGTATAGCCATATGGTGGCCAGTCATCGCCAAATCGGCGGAGAAAAGAATTGTAGGGATCGTGTGGCGGCAAACATGCTTTACTTTTTCGGCCAACGCTACACCTCCCAGCCCTGGGGCTCCCGACTAAAGCTTTCGTCATGAGGTCCAAGTATGGGCTTGGGGGTTCATAGAGTAAGCAAATATCTTTCTCCTCTTTGATTGGTCGCGATCGGCTTTCAGGAGTGCCAGTTTCCATACACACTGAGCTGAAAGAAAGTTGCTGAGGTGAAGTCGGTGCAAATTTGGAAATGATGTAGTAGCAGATTGAGGCAAAAACTATCAGAGAAACATGAAGTGGCTTTCTCATTCTACGCAAACGCAGAAAGAATGAGAAATTCCACATCATTCGCGATGATAGAAATTTTTTCTGTTCGGACCAGAACGTGAAGCGTCCACTACCAGGTACCGAACCATCGGTTGAGGGGAACGTTGCGGACGGTTGGCGTCTGGCATACGTACGTGTACGCAAAATGATTCCAAAACACCGAAAGAAAAAATACAAAACACCTGGTACATTATGTGGAATGTTACGAAAGTAACATAAATACGGTACCGTTGCTCAAAATACATATGAATTTCGAGTCATCTGTGTCAAACGCACTGTTACTTATGCCTTTTTGGCAGTATTTTTGACGGTACCGTTGCTCGCTTTGTAACATGCCACGCAACATTTTCAAACAGAAATGTTACTCTTTGCCATAAATGTTCGTGTCGCACCATAAGTAATTTTCAGGCAGGAATATCCATCGCTCAAACAAAAAAGTTACTTTTCGCCTCGAATATTCTATCGTATCATAAAAGTAACTTTCTGGAACACCCGGCAGAACGATGATTTTTGTCATTGTTCGAAGAGCAGACAAACCTTCTTCAGTCATTTTCGAAATCCATGTGATCACGTGGGATAAGAAGAATAACTCATATTTAAGAGCAAAAGCTAATGATGACCAATTATGATTGGTTCAGACAGAAACGATGAGAAGCGACCAAAGCGATGAGAAGCGACCACAACGCGATCAGAAGTGAGCAAAATATTGTTCCGAATGGAAATTACTCGTTCCGAATGGAAATTACTCGTTCCGAATAGAAATTACTCGTTCCGAATAGAAATTACTCGTTCCGAATGGAAATTACTCATTTCCCAAAGCGATGAGAAGCGACCAAAACGATGAGAAGCGACCAAAAGTGAGTAATTTTTTGGGGGGCTGATCTTGGGGGGCATTTTTTCACAGCTGGGACTTTGGCGAGACCATCCTGCCTTGGCGAAACAGGCTTGCTCAAAACAAATAATACCGGTAATCATCAACGACACAAAAGACAAAATGAAGTTTTCTTCTCTCTCAAACACCTTCCTCTTGTCACCAGAGGTGGCAAGAGAAACTGCATTGGGGTTTCTCGCAGGTGTTCTCTGAATTCCCCAGCCAAAGCAATCTTCCAGGAAAGAGTGAGGCCATACTGGTCTTTCTTGAAACTGGTGTTATCTTCAGGCTTGCTATGGATGCCACTCTTCTTGCTGTCAACAATAAAGTCCGACTTGGGGGAGAAGATTCTATTCGCAAACACTGGATGTTCCATTGAAAACACAATGATCGAGTAATTGAAAAATAGGTCCAAGTCTCTCTCAGCATTCACTGCCTCTGCCTTCAGGTCATTGGCAACAGTCTTCTTTGCTCCGGGATTATCGGACTTAGCAATACCAAACTTCTGGTACTGACATGCAGTGAAGTTGGCTACTGGCTCTCGAAACAAAAGAATGCGACCGAGATGCTTTTGAAAGCAAGCTGGCACCTCAAAAGAATTGCGATTTTGAGTTCATAGAACTTGTAGTCATCTGGGGGGCATGAGCAGTTCACAGTGATGGTTTGATACTCAATATGGTCTTGTTTGATCAGACCTTGACAAATGAAAGTGTTTCTGTGGCGGTGGCCATGTTCTGGAAAATTATAGATGACGTTTGGCCATTTCTTGGAACCATCTTGGTGATAGTCGGGAAGAGGGTAGCTGGGCCTGGTTCTTGTTGGTGGGGAACCAAAGCCACAAGGAGAGGAGAAACTATGAGATCCATAGCTTGTGGCTCCGAAGATTTGACTTGGTGAGCCAATAGAGGAGTTTGCAGAAATGTTCATCCCTGAAAGATTAGAAACAAGGAGGTCAAAAGAGGAGTTGAGTGCAGTTGCTTGTTCTGGAATTGTCGAAGACACTGCAGTACGCTGTTCAGGAGCTGGCAATTGTTGGTTTGTCCTCCTTGGTCTCCTCCGTCTCCATCCTGTCGTCTGCGTCAACAGGGTTTTCCTTGTTTGATTCAAGTTCAGCACAAGTTGTATCTGACATCTCAATCTTGTGTTTCTTTAGCAATTTGATGTAGGTTTCAATGCCCACCCGTTTCACAGTGTTGTTGATGACCCGACTGTAGCGCTTTCTTGTGATGCTTCCTTTTTCACCAAACATCGTCTTGTTTGTATTCCATAGTTGAATAGGCACAAAATTCCAACGATCTAGATTGTGTTCCTCGATGCTTTGAAGCTGATAATGAATTTCCCAATCTGCAAGTTTCTTACCTGCTCCTTCCTCAAGAGAAGATACGGCGGTGGCGGAGATTGGTGGCATGGTAGATGGTTTTAAAAGCGATTTGTTGGAATCTTCCTTTTCGATTTTGTGAGCATTATTGTTGACACTCACAATCTCCTCTCCAACCCTTTCTGGTATTGCTGATCACATCTCAAGCCAAGACTTGATTGGCAATAAAGCATCGCTGATGAAGATCATGGGGGGTAGGACTGAGCAGAGCGGGGGATATTTTTGTGGGACTTCCAGAAACGATGAGAAGCCACCAAAACGATGAGAAGCCACCAAAACGAGAAATAACTCACATCGCAAAGCGAGTAATTTTTATTCGGAACGAGTAATTTTTATTCGGAACGAGTAATTTCCATTCGGAACGAGTAATTTTTATTCGGAACGAGTAATTTTTAAGAAGTACTCAGTCGCGACCTAAAAGCAGTTTTTCCATCATTATGTCAGGTATGCCTTTAAATGAATTATTACGAACTAAGATTTTTAAAAATGTCTCTTTGGGTTCTAAACTATTTATGAACGACAAGATGTTCTTATATATGAGAAATGTCTTTTTTGTTTCCTAGTCATCTTGCGAGAAGGAACCACGAGGAATTCTAAAGTCATCGTTTTGCCAGGTGTTCCTGACAGTATGTTCATCACAAGACAGTATTATTCATCCACAATACAAAAATTACACTTTCTCGATCCTTCTTCTTTGAGAGATGCAGGGTCAAACAACTGCAGAAGAACAAGCAAATATGGACTGTGACGTCGTGATGGAGGAAGCAGCAGCCAATAACGACCATTCCGACGCTGGAAGGAGGCGCTTTGCACCACCAGAAGACTAGGCTACTTGGCATTGGTATGCCACCAGATATAATCCACAGTGCCGCCCATACATTGCTGCCTGATATACAACAACCAGCCAAAAAAAGAGTGACAACCAGTTGGCGATTGATGAGGCTATTATTATAGACGGTGATGGGGGCGCTGGTACTGGTGGAGGCGTGGTGGCAGGGAACTCAACTTAGGAGACTTGTTCTTCCAAAGCATCCAGATAAGTATGTATCCAGCAACTGCAACAACAATTTAGCAACGTTGCTGCTCGATCTCATACAAATGTTTCAGATTTGAGAGCCTACATCCGGCATCGTGATCGAATTCTAAACAACAACATTCGTGCTTTTAGCGGAACAATTGAAGGTGGCTTGCGAATCCAACTCCAACAAGCAAATACCGGCCGCAGACTACTACACTACCACTTCCAGCAAGAGGAGCAAATCCAGATATTAGTCCCATCGTAGTTGCGAACATGGCTATTCTATCGGGCAATCCCAGGTCGTTAAACGAACTCTGGCGGGAGTATCAGCATGGGATTGCTGGTCGGAAGCCTGCACGTTTTTTCACGGCTAGAGAACGAAAATCTTCCAGTCAAATCTAGTGTAACAGTTGCATTAGTTTTATGAATATGGTTTACATAGTATGCTGTAATAGCTGCTTGATTGCTTGCTCTTATGTAGAGATATTGTAGAAGGAAAGTTCACTGGTATTTTGTCTTGTTCGATTTTCCTCTTTGATGTGTTTCCAGTTTGTTCGGTTTGGGTGAGCATTTTGATTGGCTGGAAATGTGCAGCTGGCTAGAAAGGTGCGACATGAGTACATAGTGTACCATGTTATACGAGTAACATAATGCGTACACATAGATCGACGGTATTACCACAGTATTGCATTGTTTGTACCCACCGTATCCACCCTCACAACAGTTTCTTCCCTTCGGTTTTTGCTATAGATCTCTTCCACACAATCCATAGAACACTATATATAAGGGTATCGACTTCGTTCTAGCTGGTTTTCAGTAGCAACAGAACGCTGAAGTCATGACACGCAAATCCAGTGGTCTGGGAGCTATGATGCTTGCAAAACTCACTGGCCTTGATTTTGACAGCCCCGAGTCCTTGGCAATGCATTACAAGGTCTTGCGGACGGGGGTTGATGACAAGGGCGTTCCAAAACACTTCCTTGGATTTGATACTGACCTTGAACTACTGGGCAAGAAAATAAAACAATATCGGAAGCTTTCAAATGACCAACAAGCTGCTGAAGGCCAGCGATGGAATGAGATGCCAGATTGGGAGAAGGATACCTTCATTTCTCGAATCGAAGAGCTCAAGCGGAAGTTCAATCCCCAGAAAATGTCGCAGTACGATCAACCAACTGCAAGAAACATTTCACCAATACCAACGGAGCATCTGGCAGTCACTGGTCCTGCTATAACTCTTGACACGACAATCTCCCGTTCAACAATATATTGATCCCAACGCGGATGAAATATCAGATGATACAAGAATACACAGAATCCTTGGGCCTTTGGGAAAGCGTGGTGCAGGGATATTCTCGTCCCCACAGAAACTCCAAGCAATAACTCCAAGCAATAAATAATGAAAACAATCAACAGTGTCAGCAGGCCTACCATTCGGAAAAGGGTCACAAGATGGTGGAACATTCCACAATAATCTGGCAACAATATGACAAGAAGCAGGGAAGTAATCAACCTCATGTTCACTAAGCTAGCTACTACATTCGATACTGCAACCTCAAAACTGTCTATCTCATTGCTTGTTTTGAATGAGCTTTCTCCCGCACGGGCAAGTGGAGGCAATGTCTGTAGCAGTGATCTCAAGGCAAAGAAACTGGTATTTATTGTAATTACTCACAAGTTAAAAAAAATGAAACGAATCATGACACAGCCTATGCAAAGCATGTCTCAACGCACCAGATCCCCGGGTTAATCTAGAGGTACATTTTCAGTCCACCACACGGATTTGTTTCTTTCCGCAGCCAAGAAACAAATCCAGTCTCAAATATCGAACGACGCGTCAAGTAATTTGGTCATGTTATAATAATGCAAAATGTGCTCTATCGTGAGTGCCTTTAGTGCTCAGAACAAACTCTCTGCAATCTAAATTTGTAATCGACTATACAACACTTTCATGACAATAGTTCTCCTGTGTTAGGTATACTTTGAGTGAAATTGTTCCTATTTGGTTAATGTTTGGCTTGAATTGATGATTCAATCACAAAAGTGAGTTCAACAATTTTCCCTAGGAAAATCCCTTGTTTACAGAACTCGATTTGACTTCTAGGTGGATTCTGTGTTGAATACAGTACTTTGGGACATCTTGTATTATTCCCTACTGCATCGTACACAACATCAATACCCCACTTGTACAGGGCCATTCCCTTTTTGTGTGGATATAGATTGTCTGACAGACTTGAGTCCGGCATACTTGCGTCGAATCCCAACATCACGATCGAAGTCCGAACGTAGGTGTCAAAAAATTTGTACTTGAATAGTTTCTTTTTGGAACGTCAACACTCATATTTTGTCATATCCCAACGCACTCCTGCCATGGTGACAATCACCATCTGCAGCAATGAGACATGCTCTCATTCACTGTTTATTTTGTTTTGTATTTTCATTTTGAACATATACATTGTTAGAATAAAGCAAAATGTGCTCTATCGTGAAAATCCCTTGTTTACAGAACTTGATTCGACTTCTACCACAATTCTGTGTTGATTATGTGTTGGATGCAGTACTTTGGGACACCTTGTATTATTCCCTTCTGCATCGTACACAACACCGATATCTCACTTGTATAGGGTCATTTCCTTTTTGTGTGGATGTAGATTGTCAGATTGTCTGACAGACTTGCGTCCGGCATACTTGATTCGAATCCTGACATCACGATCAAAGTCTGATTGGACATGTCAAAAACTTTGTACTTGAATAGTTTCTTTTTGGAACGTAAAAACTCATATTTTGTCATATCCCAACACACTCCTGCCATTGTGACAATCACCATTGGCAGCAATGGGACATGCTCTCATTCACTGTTTATTTTTGTTTTGTATTTTCATTTTTGAACATATACATACTTGTCTGACCTAGTCCTGTGGACCAAGAATCAGATCCCTGAACTTGCGAAACTTCTCACCTTGCAATGGCTTAGTCATGAAATCCGCAATCATATCGTCAGTTGGACAGTATTTGATCTTAGCATTTCCTTTCTCAACTTGATCTGTGATAAAGAAATATTGAATATTGATAGCTCGGCTTCGTTTGCCCGTGCTCTTGCGACCATTCTCTTCCAGTAGAATTGCGCTTGTGTTATCCTGATACAAGATATTTTTCTCGACCGGATACCCTTGCCACTTCATGAACAACTTTTTCCTTAGTATCATCATGGCAACATTGTCAACAGCAATCATTTCCGCTTCTGTACTGCTTCTGCTGTTTAGTTTTGGCTTCTTTGACATCACTTGAGCTGCACCTCGTCCAAAGGACAGAGTGCCGCCAGCAGTATGGCTTTTCAAATCTGGATGCACCGCAAATGATGCGTCAATCATCCATTTAATGACTTGTAGTGATTCTGTAGAAAGTGTCAGGTGATACAACAATGTACAAAACAAGTATCGTATCATGCAAACACACTTCTTCCAGTCAGACTCTGTAGGCTCTTGAACTCTCAAGGCAAGAATAGTAATCGTTGAATGGATATCCAAATGAGCTCTCTTAGAGACATAAAGTCCCCTTGCAACAGTAGTATGAAAGATTTGACGGTACTCAGCACTGAGTAACTTCCCTTTACCAGCTTCCAGTAAATCGTTACCAGCTGGTGTTTCCTGCTTTGAATCCTTGTTGAACTTGATAGGAAAATCTTCCAACATGTTCTTGACATAGTCGTCCATGCAGATTTTGAGTTTTCCTTTCACCGAGAAATCCAAAGTCATTCCAAGATATCTGTGTATCTTTCCTCTGACGATTGTACATGCCTGGATTGAACCATATCTCATGTTCAACCACTCAGCAAATTCGTCATTTACTTTCGGGCCCATGTGACTTGACATAAGATTGTCAACATGAAACCTTATAGTTTGCTGTTTTTCATCAACAACTTTGTTAGCAACACACGGGTCATATGGATTGAAAACAAATCCCTTTGCCTCCAAATCACTTCAAAACTGATTATAGAATAGGAGGCTTGATTGCAACATCCCATATATAGCACGTAGGACCCGCATATAGATTACTCGCTTTCCGTTCTCTAATACAACGTATTTGCGATACTCTGGGGCCATGTCAATCAATATCTGGACCATCATGCCAGTGATTTTCCATAAAGACACGACCTTCTCCTTCCTTAGCTTCAGGCATATAAGTTTGAATGAAAGCGTTAGGCACGTCCATTGTCATTATATCTCTACCTTCGTGTGCATCAATAACACAAGTAGTGGTCAATTCGGGAGTGAAACAATTTCTCAGGAGCATTTGTCTCAATTCCTTATCCACAGCATCCTTTCCATCATCACCAAACTTCTTCAGTCCTTGATTGATTATTATTATGATTGATGTAATACTGTTGAATGGAAGTTCAGACCTTCATCAGTATCAAACTTGGTCTTAATCTGCATCATGCAACAAGCGATCAGAATAGCGCCGTGCTCTTCATAATCAGCTTTCATCTCATTCCCAATCTGTTGGAAACATAGATTGTGCTTTGCTTCAAGGATAGCTTTACTGTCTTTAGTACTGCGACTTCCTTCTTTGGTACAAATACCAGATTT